GTTTGTTCTAGCTCCAGTAAGTCTTACCATTACACCTCCTCCTCCAATGCATGGGTACCTGAAACACTTTCTTGTGATCCCGTAGAAGATAACTATTTCTACCAGCAATACCATCATCCCCCAGAAGCATTGGAATGGTTTGATTTTACTTTTTCAGAGATAATCTCTATCCCACAAGGTTAAGAACCATATGTAAAGGAATAGAGGCATATTGTGAAGGTGCTGAGATCCATCTGAGATACTCTAACATATTTGGAAAATCCTATTCCCTAATAATCAAAAACAATTAAGTCCCCAAGTAAATGTCCCAACTGTTTATATAAATTTGAAAAGAGCTAAGACTATCTTCTTGGCTGGCCTTTTCCTGGAGTGCCTATTCTCCCAGTCTATACCATTCATTTGTAAGAAAAAATTAGGAATGACTTTGAAATGTAGTGAGCACACTATCAAGTTCATCAATCCACATTATTTCTACCTTTGCCTTTCACTATATTATTTTACAGCACTGTAGAGATATAATTGTAGGAAACTGTTAGTAATGGAAATAATTTGTCTATAGAAATGCAAATTGTGTCCAGAGAAATGCCATTGATTATTGCCCTGTGGATACTGACCAGTTTTGCAATTTTGCACCCACTTGTAACAATCATGTCAGCAGTCCTTACCTGATCATAAAGATCTGATACTTTGAGTTTTCATTTTAGTGGTTTATAATATACTAGAAGCCCGGTGCCTGAAATTCGTGCACTGGTAGGGTCCCTAGGCCTGGCTGGCTATCAAGGCCAATTGGGGCCTTCTGGCTGCTGGCCAGGGCCTTCCTTCATTCTGTGCCGCCCCCTGGTGGTCAGCACACGTCATAACAAGTGATCGAACTCCCAGTCTCCCGGTTGAACTCCCGAGGGACACTTTGCATATTAGCCTTTTATATATATAGAAGACTACTTGTTCTCTCAATTAAAGAGTTAAATAAAAGATTTGACAGGTGTGCCCTCGTATTAGAATTGTGATCACAACCACTATTAAAGTTTATTCTTTCACCTGTTCATTTATCAAAGACTTATTGACTACATTAGATACCATATTTGTTAGAATATTAAACAAAACAGACACAATCCTTCTTTTTATAAAACATAGTTTAAAGGAAGAAGCAAAGAAGTAAACAGAGTCAAAGCAAGCAGGTACTTAAAGTATAGTGTCTTTGTGGTAGGCATCTTCTAACATAGCCCCAAAGATCCCAGTATGCTCCTATTCATGGGTTTATGCAATCTGATCCCTTTTAGTGTGGATTAGATGTATTGACATCTCTGTAAGCCAGCGGTTCTCAACCTGTGGGTCGAGACCCCTTTGGCAGTGGAACAACCCTTTCACAGGGGTCGCCTAAGACCATCTGGCATAGCAGATATTTACATTATGATTCATAACAGTAGCAACATTACAGTTATGAAGAAGCAACGAAAATAATTTTATGGTTGGGTCACAACATGAGGAACTGTATTTAAAGGGCCAGAAGGTTGAGAACCACTGGCTTATAGGATACCCCTGAGGAGATTTCTAAACCTGTGACCCTTAACTCCAGAGTTAATGGCACAGCCTGGAAAAAACGTAAAGTTCTAGCATTAGAATGACAATTGTGTGTGTGAGGGGGGCAGGTCAGGAATGAGTGAATAAAAGGGGGAAAAAAGAGCTAACACTAAGCTTCTTGACTTGGTGTAAAAGGGAAATGTAGGATCAATCTAGATAAATGGGAATTTTGAAGAGTCTTATGGTTTATGAATGTGAACATGGGGCTGCCCAGATAATTGACAGCTGATTAAGCATACTAATTTTTTCTTAAAATCATGTAACAATAAAATGAATCCAAACTATTCTTCCATTAGAACAGCAACCTAGAACAATCCTTAAATTTATCAAAACTGGACTTCTAACAGAAGTACTAAAATTTTCCACAAGGGTAAAGCAAAAGTATCACTTCCAGCATAACTTTATTCTCAATTATCAGATGCTACTTGCAGATGAATTGGATACAGTCCCATTCACATAGAGAACAGAAAAATAGAATGTTGGGGAACCAGCTAGAATTTTAAGAAATATTAATCATGCTCTGTTAACCATGACTGTTTGATCTGATTAAAGAAGGCATGTTCTAGCCTTGCTGATGGCTGCACTCAGGACCTTGGAGCTCACCTGGAAATGCAGTCCACCCTCCCCATTTCGAGCTGCCTGTTATCATGGAAAGATTAACAACTCTGCTGCAGAAACCAGAATCACCAGCCCTTGCATTATCACTAAGCCCTTTAAGATCCCCAGTCCTTTTGCATACCTACAGGCCTTTGCAAATCTCCAGCCTGCTTCCGTTAACTGTCCATTTGGCATACCCTTTGGCTATTTCCCCATGTAATCCTTTGTACTTCTACCAATATAAGCAGCCGGCTTATGGTGGGGTGCAGAGTAAATTTTTGTGGATGACCTGCTGCTCTCCCCATAATGCTGGCAGTATTGGAATAAACACTCATAATGATTGAACCCTGTCTCCGCTTAATTGGCTCAGGTAGTGACAGGCAACACGAACCCATTGTTTGTCTGGTTACACCATTCCCATAGAGAACAGAAAGATAAACATTGTTTTATAAACTAATGATGTGGATTTATTATTATCTCAAATCGTGAGCAGCCTGAGCAACAGCAGGCTCTGGCAGCTCATTATCTCCAGAAAAAAGAGTTACAGAACAACTTTTATATGTGAAAATAGTTACTTTGGAAGATATCCCAGAACTTTTAACTAGTTTATAAACAACAAGCCAATACATGTTGTCTCAGTCAGTTATCTTGATGAACATCGAACAAACAGGAGTTTGTTAGAAGATGTATGAGGAAGTAGCTCTCCCAAAAGTCAGGTATTTTATGGGTTCTAAAAGGAGGTGTTTTTTGTTTGTTTGTTTGTTTTTTAAGTTGTGTTTATGTGGTTGTTTATCTGAGGCAAGCATCTGGTAATAATCGCTTTAAATTATTTTCAAGCTAAATCAATTGCTGCCCTGCTACATAAAACAGAATTTTTGGATTCTATTCTATGTTCATCTGTGTGCTAGAGTAGACACAGTAATATATATTGGGGAGAACTTAAGCCCACTGCAAATATTTTTCTAATTCATTTCAAGTGGAGTAGATATGACAAAGGCCAGCATAGAAGCACATATATTTGAATACATATCTGCTTTGAGCCCCATCCTTGTTATTCTCTCTTCTTTGACCTCAGATCTAATATATCCTACCTAGTCACATTTTGTGTATCATTCATTGTAAGTAGTTATAAATCATTTTTGAAGATATAAATACATTTTGAAAGAAATTGATTATAAATATATTGCTTCAAATATATTTATATTTCTTGAAATATAAATTCAACTATTACTGTAAGTATAAATACATTCTGTTAAAAAAGAACAACAACAACAACAAAAAAGACAATAGGCCCCAAATGGAGTCATTTATGCTAAGGCCCAATGCTACCAAACTGAGGCTCAATTTAGTTTCATCTCTCAGAAATGGAATCTTAAACCAGTCAATCAAGAATTGCCTTACCAGCACTATTGGATAATCTGCCTGATAGACACCTGCCATCCCCTAAAGCAGCGGTTCTCAACCTGTGGGTCGCGACCCCTTTGGGGGTCGAATGACCTTTCACAGGAGTCTCCTAAGACCATCAGAAAACACATATATAATTACATATTGTTTTTGTGATTAATCACTATGCTTTAATTATGTTCAATTTGTAACAATGAAAATACATCCTGCTATCAGATATTTACATTATGATTCATAACAGCAGCAAAATTACAGTTATGAAGTAGCAATAAAAATAATTTTATGGTTGGGGGTCACCACAACATGAGGAACTGTATTAAAGGGTCTCGGCATTAGGAAGGTTGAGAACCACTGCCCTAAAGGAAAGTGACCTTGCAATAACCAATTCTACCCTTGCCCCCAGGATAACTTCTTTGTTCCCACTGCCTTCTGCCTATAAAAGTCGTTCATTTTATACAGATCCTCAGAGCTTCATTCTATGCACTAGATTGGCTGTTGACTGATCAAATCGATTTTTGCTCAAATAACTTCTTGAAATTTTTAATATACTTCAGTTTAACTTTTAACAATACACATTAAAACTTCTCCAAAAATTGCCTAATAACTTGTTCTCCCATTTCAATGGAATTATTTACTTGTAAACATAAGAAACATTCAAACCTATAGAGAATTTTTGTGAGTTTATTTGAGCCAAACTGTCACAATTTCTGGGAAGAAAAATCTTAAGGGATTGAGATAATGCTCCAGAGAATGTCAGTTTTGCATCTTTTTTTTTATACATTACCATCAAAAAAGAAGCAAGTGGGTTACATCAACTCTGTTGCTGATAGATTAGAGAGACAGGAGAAAGCAAAGTCATTGTGTGTGTGTGTGTGTGTGTGTGTGTGTGTGTGACCTCTGGGATTGGATGAAAAGTAAAATGATAGGCATGTACATCTTTACAATAGGTGGGTACAGGATACTTAGTAGTCAACAATTAATATGATAACAATAACAATGAGAGGATTTATGGTCTCTGCGCTGGTGCATTGGTTGTGCCTTTAAGAGGTCTGGAAAAAGGGGAGTTACCCTGACATTCCAAAGGAATGTTATTTTTAAAAAAATGCAAAAGACAATAGACAAGTTTAGTTAAAGATTGACTTTTGCAGGGAAGATTCCAGCCTAGGACATAGCTATCTGCCATAAACTGCTTTTAGTTAAAAAGTTTTAATTTCAGACCATCCTTTGTGTTTGTTTTAGGTCTCTGAGTTTTGCAAGATCACCAGAAGGCCTCTCCTGAGTTTGTCAGGTTAGCATATGATCTTTTTTCATCCACATACTGAATGAAGGTGCTACCTTCTTAGCTTAGAAACCACATTTAAAGCCTTTGAGTACCAAATATTTTGTTCTCTTAAATAGAAAAATTTTGTAATAGTCACCTTCCCAAAGGAGGCAGTATTGTCTTTCCAATAGTTTTCTTAATCCTCAAGCCATATGGCAATCCTTGTTATATCCCTGCACGTCAGTTATGGCCCTGGGGAATTTAGAGGAATTTTAATAATTCTGAAAGAAAATGTTTTGTGTATGTAATTAATTTTTAAAATCTTTATTATTGAAAGTATTACATGTCCCCTTTGTTCCCCCATTCATCCCTTCTGGCCAGCCCCAGGCCTTCACCACACTATTGTCTGTATCCATGGGTTATGCAGATATGCATATAAGTTCTTTGCTTAATCGCTTCTCACCCACCCACCCTCCCCCATCTTCCCTCTAAGATTCTATAGTTGGTTCTATACTTCTATGTCTCTGGATCTATTTTGTTCATCAGTTTATTTTGTTCATTAGATTCCACATATGAGTGAGATCATATGATACTTCTCTTTCTCTGACTGACTTATTTTACTTAGCATAATACTCTCCAGGTCCCTCCATGCTGTCTCAAAGGGTAAGAGATCCTTCTGTTTTACTGCTACATAGTATTCCATGGTATAAATGTACCAAAGCCTTTTTAAAATAAATAAATAAATAAATAAATAAATAAATAAATAAATAAATAAATAAAGGAGAGGAAGATAGAAACATCAATGATGAGAGAATCATTGATTGGCTGCCTCCTGCACGTCCCCTACTGGAGATCAAGCCCGCCACCCGGGCATGTGCCCTTGACCTGAATCGAACCTGGGACCCTTCAGTCCGTAGGCGGACACTCTATCCAGTAAGCCAAACCAGCCAGGGCAAGCTGTCAGTTGGACATCCCCTGAGGGCTCCCCGACTGTGAGAGGGCACCGGCTGGGCTAAGGGAACAACTCCCCACCCCCAGTGCACCAAGCCTCTAGTTTTACAATAACAAGAATACAGTTAATGAATAATACATTTTGGATGGGGGAAAAACAAAAGAGTGGAAGGAGGGTAAGAGATAAGAGTCTTCAGTTTCAACTTTACTAATTAACATTTGAGTAACCATAAACCTATTACTAATTCATATTTATGAGTTACAAAGTGTATTTGCTTTAGCAGGAAGGCATAACCAAATGTCTATAAAATATGCTGAATTGTTCTGTCACTTATCTCTGTTTTGTTGAGATCATTAACATTCTTTGAAGCCAAATGTAGCAGATGTATAAACTTGCAGATATTTCTCATTGTCCCTATTAGCTCGACACATCGATTTGCAAGATGAATATTTATTTCTAATACTGCAAACTTACCCGTGCTATGACCCCATTTTTTACACCAGATACTTATTTCTGAAGAAATTCAAGAGATGATTTAGACCAATTCCTCTTTGCACAGATAAAGAAATTAAGGTTTTGATAGGTTTAGCACCTTATCCAAGGTAATGAAGCTAATTGCGGAAGATGATTCTAGAACACTCAGCTGCTGAGAAAATAACTAATTCCAAGGTCATATCATAACTTACTATCTGAGACTAACACACCATCAAGAGTATTGAGCCTCTTGGGACCAATCGCATTATACTTCACATCCCCGTGTACCTCACTAATCTGCAGTATCAGCCTTTCCACACCATTTTCTCACAAACTCTTAACCCACATGCTCTGTTTATCTTCCCTCCTTTCTTCCCTTCTGAAACAAACCCTTCCAGTGTCTCTTGTGACCCCAATCTGTAATCAGCAGTTCCCTTTACTCCAAATATTCCCTTCACTTCCTTGAAACCTACCTGAGCCCTGAGTGAACACTGAATGTCAGGGCCAGCTGAGGTAGGTGCATCTCTTGCTCCCCATTGCTTCTTCCAAATTATCTCACCTCTTCCCTCCAGCAAAAATCACTGCTCTTTTAATGCTGATGTCATCTGGATATACCACTGTTTCCTACTTCTAGTCACAACTCCTCATTCAGTCTTCTGTTCCTAGCAGAGTCTTCCATTCCCTTCCTTTATCCTTGGTGATTTCAATACCTAAGTGGGTGACCATCAAAAATCCCCAGCTTCACAGTTTCTTGATTTCCATATTCCATTGACATTTTCCTTTTTCAACTTCAGTCACCCACCCATTGTATGGTCATATCCTAGACCTTTATATCTGTTACAAAATTACAAACCTTTTCAAATTTCAGATAAAAAAAGTCTTTGTTTTCTGCTATAACCTCCCATGCATTCAGGTCATTGATAGAATTCCATGAAACTATATAATTCTTCAACAATGTGGGAACATTTGATCCCTTGATCCCACCACTTTATGATCCAGCAGTCTCCTCCTGTCATTATTCCCCATCTTGTTCAGCAATTCCATTATCACCAATATGCCTTTGCAAATACTTCCAACTCCTTGTTCCTTCTTTCTCTCAATTTAGCTCACTTTACAAAACCCCAATCCATGTATAACCTCACCTTGCTTCAGACTTTCTCCTTGTTTTCACCTAAACAGGAAAGTGTTAGTAATCACAGAAATAACATAATCAGGTGACTAATTTAACTTTAAATTCATAATTTCAGGTCACAGTTTGAAACTTGATATGGCCCAGAAATCTTGTTACATTTCTCTAAGTTTATTTTTCTGCTCCCCAGAATGATCATATTGATCTCTCTCTTCATCCTCTACCCATCGCTTCTACCTTATCTCTCAGCAGGTATCCTTGCGCATAGTTTATTGAGAATATAGGCCTATCAGTTGGAAGTGGCCTCATCTTCCCATGACAAAACTTCCAAGTCTACCTGCCACTGAACCATCTTCCCATGTGCATCAAATGAGGAGATATCATGGACACACCAGAATATAGATGAGAACTGCAGAAACTGAGGCAATTAAACTTAAGTGTTAAATTAGGGAGGATGCCAAATTTAGAAGGATGGTGAACATTATGTTTTGGAGAAAATGGAAAGGCTTTGGTGAGGAGATACCTGAACTAAGTTGTGTTATAGGACAGGGGTCAGCAACCTAGAGCTCTTGAGTCTGTTGACTGGTTTTGTATGGATACCACCATGCCACAATGGTAGGGCTGAAGTGTTGCCACAGAAACCATATGACCAGCAAAGTCTAAAATATTTGCCATCTATCCCTTTACAGAAAAATTTACCAGCCTCTATTTTAGAAAGGTAACTCTGGCAGCATGATAGAGAATAAATAATAATGGGGACAAATTAGATGCACAGAAAATATTTGGAAGGAAATTTTGTTAGTTCAGATAAGAATGATGAAGGCCTGGTCTAAGCCAATGGTAGTGAACACGGAAGAGAAAAAAAATGAGAGGCAATTTGTGTACAGAATCAGAAGGATTCAATAAATAATTAGAGATGAGAAAAAAAGATAGAAATAATTTTATAAATTGACTCTAAGTTGTCTATCCTTGGTGAGAGTGGTAGAGTTCTTAATGGCAATAGGAGGAAAGTTTCCAGGAATAAAATGATTTTCATTTTGGACAAGTTCAATTATTACAAGAAATCTACATGGAGCTTTTTCAAATTATCCCCAAATTTATTTCTAAGGCTAATGGAGTTAGGGAGTTCATTGGTCTGTAACTGGCAGCTGCTGCTTTGGGAATAGATGAAATCACTAAAGAAATGTAAAATAAATAAAAATGTCTCTTAAAAGTCTGTACTAAGGAGTAGCAAACATGTATACACACAAAAATATGCACATATATGTTTAAAACAGCTTTATTCATAATTACCAAAACTTAGAAGCAACCAAGATGCCCTTCAGTAGGTGAATGGATAAAAAAAATAAAAATAAAACAAAAAACAGTGGTATACCCAGAAAATGGATTATTCAGCACTAAAACATAATGAGCTATCAAAACTTGAAAAGACCTCGAGAAAACTTAAATACATTTTACTAAGTGAAAGAAGCCATCTGAAAAGGCTGCATACTATATGATTTCTTGAACAGCAAAACCATGGAAACAATTAAAAGATCAGCGGTTGTCGGGGGTTGGGGGATGAATAGGTGGAACACAGAGGGTTTTTAGGAGAGTGAAACTATATGATACTATAATGATGGGCACATGTCATTATATATTTGCCCAAACCTATATATCATACAACAGCAGAAGTGAATGGTAATGTAAACTATAGATATTGGGTGATTACGATGTATCAGTAGGGAATGTTGATAAAGTTATGCATGGGTGGGTACAGAGGGTATATGGGAAATCTCTGTATTGTTATCTCAATTTAGCTGTGAACATAACATAACCTAAAATAATCTTAATTTAAAAAGTCTATATTTAAAGGGTAATTGAAACTATCAATTCATAAACAGAAAATTATAGAGAAGTTAAAATGAATTAGCCAATAGAGACATCTTAATAGGTAAATCTCAAATACATAATTTTCCAAAAAAAGAAATCTACAAAGGATGCTATACTATTTATGTGAAATTCTAAAACATAAAATAATGTGCATTGTATGCAGACATTTTATTTTATTTTTTATTTATTTATTTTTTAAATATATTTTATTGATTTTTTACAGAGAGGAAGGGAGAGGGATAGAGAGTTAGAAACATGGATGAGAGAGAAACATCGATCAGCTGCCTCCTGCACACTCCCCACTGGGGATGTGCACGCAACCAAGGTACATGCCCTTGACCGGAATCGAACCTGGGACCCTTGAGTCCGCAGGCCGATGCTCTATCCGCTGAGCCAAACTGGTCAGGGCTATGCAGACATTTTACTAAGTGAAAGAAGCCATCTGAAAAGGCTGCATACTATATGATTTCTTGAAAAGCAAAACCATGGAAACAATTAAAAGATCAGTGGTTATCAGGGATAGGGGGGATGAATAGGTGGAACACAGAGGGTTTTTAGGAGAGTGAAACTATATGATATAGAAAAGTACATTAATGATAATACAACTTCAGAATAGGAGAATAGGAGGAGAGGGAAAGACTAAGAAGTGTAGATTATAACTTTATCTGCCATCTTATATTTCCTTTAAAAAACAAAACAAAGCTTCCAGTAAAAGACACCAAAAGAGAGAGCGGGGGGGGGGGGGGACGGTATAAGCTGTCAGGAGGAAATCAAGAGGTTACAGTAGGTCCCAAACATCAGGAAAGGAAGGAGGTATGTTTTCCA